TTACCCAGGAAAATTCAGTTTTAAGTATCTGCTTTTCAGCAAGGTCCTACCATTTGCTGAGTTTTCATGTGGGTTAATGGATGCCAAAGAGGTCAAGTGACTTCCCAAAGGTTATACAATGAGTCACTGAATTTCTTGAGAATAACATTTGAGAACCTCCTAGTTTTCTGTCTTTTGCTCTGACTGATACTAAAAAGAGATGTTGAGAACGACGCGACCTCAGTTTTATCCCTGTGCTGCTGCTTTGAGGAGGCATCAAAGCTGGGTGTTCACTGGAGAAATCTGAGACTCCCGAGGCAATATTTCCCATATTTCTCACCGAAACAACCCAAAGAAGCAGAAGTGCTGCAATACAAACAGGCTGCTGCGACCCTTGCAACATAGATCGTCTCTTAAAAAAAAAAAAACAGCAAATACAACACATGGAGACCAGCAAAAGTGCTAATCCAACACAGCAGGAGTGATTGTTTTGACTTAATTATGTTTTCCATCTTTAACTGTTGCTGCAATGGTGTTCCTGTCTCTCCAAGTGGAAAGCCTCTGCATTACAGATGACCCTCGGTGCTGCTCTTGGAGACTTAGTCACAGAATGCAGAGCCATGGGTGCCTCTTCACGTGGCATCTCCACGTTTGCGTCTGATGTGGATATTCAAGACCTGCCTGGACTCTATCCTGCTCAACCTACTGTGAGGAACCTACTTTTAGCAGGGTGGTGGGACTCAATGATCTCCAAAAGTCCCCCCAACCCCCGTGATCCTGCTGATGGTCTCTATGTCTCTGCTGGGGAGGGGTCGTGTTCTGGATGCCCCCACCTCCATCCTGCAAGCATTGGAGGAGACAACAAATACAACACACCGGGCCATCACCCTTGCTCTGACTTTCCACTTTCTTAATCTCTTCCAGGTAGAGAAGGGCTGCCATGCTGTGATGATCCCTGGCCAGTTCCACTCCCCTGGATGAGTCCCACCAGGCTGTTCCCCGTGCTTGCTAAGCTGCAGAAGTGGGGTAACTCTTGCTATTTGCTTCTCTGCCCTAGTTTGGTGTGTGCGCTGAGCTCTTTATCTCCAAAGGGCTCGCTATTACTGCATACTGAATATTATTTTATGTATTTAACATATTATAAAGCAATTAGGGGATGTAAGGTACTGCGGAAACAGGAAAAGATCTGCCTGGAATAATAATTTCATTTTGAAACTTTGTTGCTAAAAGACTTCGGGGTGAAATTGTAGTGCAACATATGAGCTTTTAATGAAATGACTCGCATTACTTCTAAGATGAGTGGAAAAAACCTACACACCGCATGGTAAAGTTTCACTTAATTAACAAATAATTTGTATTAGAATAGAGTTATCAAATTCTAATTCATCAAACAGGATTCAGCAACGAACTGAAAACGTTTTGAGCACGAACGTTTCCATACTTACACATCTCTAGGCTGGAAACTGCGTCAGTTATTTCTCTGCTAATGCATCAGGTTGGGGCTGGCGCTCACAGGTGCAGGCGTGTTGCAGAACAGCCAGGAGAAGAGACAACTGATGTGACTGCACGTGATGTTGTTAATCTGGTATTGTGTTGGATGTGGACGAAACAGACCGTAGGGGACGAGGTCAGAGAGTTGTTTTAGTTACTTCAAATGAGAAGGAGGTTAATTAATGTTGCTTACGATTCCGTCAGCTTTGTGTTTTGTGACATGTGTATATATATTTTGTGTGCATCGTTTTCTTTGCCTTGGAGTGAGCAGTGCTGCTGCTCTCTCTGTAATAGCTGAGTGCCTGCAACCATCTTACTTAAAAATAGATTGAAGGCTCGCACCGTTGGGGAGAAGTCGCACAATGGTTGCTGACAGCCCATTGCACACGCTGACCAAGGCGCTGGCTTTAAAGCAGTTTGGCTTATAATTATATCTTTACAGCTAACTGGGCTATCCAAATGATTTTCTTCTTTCCCCCTCCCCACATCTACTGACCTGTGGCTAATGAGATTTGTGTTTCGATTAGTTGTAGAACATAAATTAACTAATCAATGAGAATGGATTCGCATCCTTTCTTGTAAAAGAGCTCTGCTGCAGTGATCTGTATTTAATATTCAAATCAATTTCAAATTCTCAGGATGATTCTGCTAATATGGCAGGCTGGGACTCGCCGCATCTGTATCCCCTCCGCAGACTGCAAACAGGGGGTGCTTATGGAATCGCTCACTGACCTCCAAAGCCTTCTCTGGTCTCATTGATTTACTGTGTCACTTCATAGTGATGATGAGAAGCTTAGAGGCTGGCGATGAAGCTTGGAAAGTCATGTGGGAGGGCATTTTCCCTTTACTTTAAAGAGCATGTAGACCGAGGATTCACAGGACTTGAAAAATGCTGTTTGTATTTGATATGGAGATTTAGGATCAATATATTCTATATATATATAATATATATAATATATTATATTCTGACTCAAATTCCCTCTATACCTGAGATGGGGTTAAGAGATGGCCATCACCAAACCGCAGCGCAAGGTTCTCTCATTTGCTTTCAGGTGCAGAGAACTTTATCTCTTGCCTCGTTGCAGTTGTCTCATCTGTACAATTATCCAGCATCCTGGCAGAAAATGTGAAAATTTGTACAGTGTTCAAAGCATCTGTGGCCTTTATGGTACAAGTTCTGTTAGTACTGAAGCCACAGAAAATTAAATGTTCCCCAAAGAACTTCCAGATGTGTTTTATTCTAATAGGGTCATTATACAGTAAATTAAAAAGCAGGGTAAATGGAACTGTAAAATTTAAATTACTCTAAAACCACATCTCTTTGCTTTGAACATTCATTTGTGGGGTTGCATTTGCAATAAATGTGAATTAGGCAGCTGCAATAACTGTTAATCATATATTTATAAAATAGTAATGAGGAAATGAATAGCAGAGTAAGACAGCTGCACATTTCTCTAATAGTATGTCAACTGTGAACATAATAAGATGTAGAAAATTGTTTGGTGCTATGCTGATAATGCAGCCGAATGTAAGAGATCACTTCAACCTCTTAACTTTACAGGAAATTATATATAAAATCCATAAAAAGCCGTAATAATACATTAGGCCTCTGAATTGCAGTCAATGTTTTTCTTTGCTTTGATTTTTCTGAAATGGGCCATACTTTTCCCAAAGTAATCTGCCAAAGATCACCGGGGCTTTTGTTTCAGGCTGCGCTTTATTCACCATCTTGCAATTTCATTTAAAAGACGGTGCTTCTGAGAGCCCAAAGTGATCTAACTTCCCTCTGGCAGGGGCTGCGGGTCCCCTCCCTCTGCTTGTAGGCTTTCCATCAGCTCTGGGAGCACTGAAGCTCCGAGTCCTGCTGCTCCATCCCCTGCACTCACAGCCCCACGCGAAGCAGAGCGGGAGGTGAAATCAAAACGTGGTAGGCAAATAGATCCAGCTTCAAACGTAGGAAAGGGTTGTCGGCGTGGTCTGAGGGCAGCTGGATGAATTCAGGTAAAATCATAAAGGGTTGAAGAGAATTGTAAGAGTAAGGGATGCAACCCAAGGATGGGGAACAAATGGGGATGTTTGGCAGCCCTGCTGCTCGCAACCTGCCCTCGTGCCACGGGCTGCTCACTTGTGGTTCTAACCAGCCTTAATTGAATGTTGCAACTGGAATGGGGTGAAGAGGGGAATGAGAAAGCTAACAGGGAAAAAGATTAGGCGAGTGCTGGGCTGCAAGCAGCTTATCGGGCAAGTGGGGAATAGGTGCTAAATGGGTAACAGGGAGGCTGCCGTAAGAAATGCCACTTATCAAAGCATTGGCACCTGGCAAGGAAAAGCAAAGGGAAGGAATGAGGGACCCAATCCCAGCGCTGTGGCAGACACCAGAGGGACTGAGAAGTGGCACAGCTGGCACAGGATGTTAGAGCTGGGCTGCATTGCAGCACGCCCTGACGTGGCTGGCGGAGAGGGATGAGTTTAGTCGTGCTGTTTACTACATGGCATACGTTTTCCGTGTGATTTTGCTGCAAATGTTTTGTCGTTTCGAATTTTGATTTGCATTTGGAATAACACAGCAAGCTCTCTTTCTATGCTTTCCTCCCTTCCCTCCCTCATAATTTTCACATATTAAAAGACTCACAGCCATCTCCAGAGGACCGTAGAGGATGGGGGTCAGCTCTCCTCCAGTTGAGATGACCCTGCCCCTATTTCTGCCTGGGGAAGGACAAGGTGAGAGGTGGGCCGGAGGGGGCAGGAGCTGACATGACCACGAGCTCTCTCAGTGTTTTCTGAAACCTTTGCAGTCACTCCATGGACCTAACCTTTAGCCTTCATCAAGCTGTTGCCTTAATGGACAGGACTTTTTTTTAGCACAAATCTCTTTTGGCCTTCTTAAAGACTACAAAGATATTGTACAGTGGCCAGAAGGAAGAACAGACGTCCTCGGTGTAACCCCATCAATGGAAATATTGTTCATAAAGCATCACTGTGTTATCCTGAGCTGTCACAGGCAAAAAGAGATGGAAAGACAGATACAGAAGGAGGCACATATACATAGATAAATTTGTCCTGTATAATTTTGGCCTTCCACTCACCAAAACAAAGTGATTGTTGTATTATTAAATATAAATTAAAGGAAAGCAATGGAAAATGGCTTGTTTTCAAATCCTTTTTTTTTTTTTCCCCGTGAAACAGACGATTCAATTTTCTAGGAGAAGCAAAGTTCAAGCTCTCATTTCCCACTGTACATTTCTGTGTTAGTGCCTCACAAAATAGCAGTTCATTTCTGGAAATCCTATTACTGTCCACACTCAAGCAGCAACTTTAACACATACATTGGTTACCTGGCAGCTTCTTCCTACACAACTCCCACCTTGGAGAGTTAAAGCTTATAGTTTTAAAAGGAAAATTGAAATAGCCCAATTTTGAACAATGCACATTGGAGGGGAAAAAAAATGAAAGAAGAAAAAGTGCACATGCCACTGTCAGCTATGAGAACCCCATCTTGTCTTACATTGTGATCCCGACAGATACAGAAAGCAGAGCTGTGCATTATCATTATCTTAGAGATGGTGATTTGGTGTGTGGACACTCCACCAAAGATCTAATGCAATCAGAAAGTTAAAATATATGGGCTGGAAATACAAATTCATTAGACGTACACAAGAAAGTACGCTGCGGCGGATCTGTCATTTAAATTAGATTGTGACAATTATATGGATAGTCTGGTTGAGATGATATATGAGTTGCTCACTTTATCTGTGCCGTGATTTAATTTCTGCCAGAGATGCACTGAGTTAGGACCCCGTCATCCTCTCACCGGACCTACGCCGAACAGAGCTGGGCCCATCCCGCATGCTTCCCGTTAGCAGCTCGAAGGATTTAGAGGTACGTATTTCTGTTTATACATAAACCAACATCTTTCTGTTGCGTGAGAATCCCGCTGGAGTTGCTGCAGATCTTTCCACTGAGCTCAGCAGGGCTGGGCCTCCCGTCTCCTGCAGGATGCTCCTCATGTGCAGCAGCACGTTCCGCCGCTTGGCTTGCAAGCAGCCCCTGCAGCTCCCTCTGCACAGAACCAGAGCGCCGTGCCCCCAGCACCGTGGGATGGGCATCCTGCTGGGATATCTCTGCCTCCCGCCGCTGCCCAGCGGCAGTTCTTTGTGCTGCAAACAGGGCTGTGTGCACGGAGAGCTTCAGGTAGTGCTGTTTGGGCCCACGGGTGGCTGCAGCATCTGAATGCTGATACAGGTTAAAAAAAAAATAAATAAAAAATCCCACCACGATTAACGGGGAAAGGTGATTTGATAACTTCTGACAAGCGCAGTAAACGCCACTTCTTACAAATGAACGCTAGCGATCAATTTAATTTCTCAAGTAAAATGATTAAATTGCTGTTATTGTGGGATCATTATTTTATTGCTAAAACCTTTTAAAATGTTAATTATTGGGCCCCTTGAAAAGCTTTCATCTTGCCTGACTTTGCTCTGACACAAAAAATGTCTCTGGCTGTGACTTGGAATTGAATGAATGTTCGTGCTTTGCCTTTTCTCTCTCCCTCTCTTTTGCTCCTTTTTTTTTTTCCTTAACACCTGCAACTATTCTCCTTGGCTGTAATATTTATATGAATTTAACTTTAATTTTTCTCTGCTTTCATCTTCTGAATTAGACAGTATAAAGCACAGATCACTCCTTCTCTGCTGCTTTCCTGTTTATTTGCTTTAACAATAGATTCATTAACTAGATTTTGGTGCTCAAGCCATGCGGACACATCTATTTCAAAGGAGGCTTTAATGGCATTTCATATTTTTCTACATTAAGGAAGATTAAAGTATATTACAATACCCTTTACTGCTCTATTTTCTTCATTTTAGAAGTGGTCAGTTTTTAAATTTTTTTTCCCCTTTCTTTCATCTGCAGTGTTCAATAAATTGTCCAGGCCTTTCAGATGATAGTTCCAGCAAATTGAGTTCTATATTACAACTCTGAACCATTGTTTAGCCCATCATCAGTCAGATAAAGCACTCCTATTCACACAGGACATCAAAAGAACAAATATATGTTCAAAGTGGCTAAAAAGATTACTGTGACTTAGATATATCATTTCGTTAATTGTTAGTGATTATTCCACTAGTTTAGAGGTGGTAAATTTGCTGACTCTGAGCTCGTGCTTGTGATGTAATCAGAGTGGAATATATAGATACTCACGGCTGTAAATTACACCATTCAAAGAGGGTCACGTCTATCTTTTTCTAATAGCTGGAGGTGGACTAATAGCAACATTTTAATGAGAAGAAAGATGTAGAAGGACATCTTCATTTCACACGAAGGGTATGTGTCAAAGAGCTCCAGGGAATCTTGGCTGGGCGGAATGGGAGGTGATGGCCATGGGTGCCGAGCCAAATTCAGCCCTGGAGCAGCCAGACTGAGTTGGGCTGTGCCTGGAGGAATCTGTCCCAGTTGGAATTTAGGCTTTTTGCTGGGTGAGAATAGCTAAAGTTAATGCTGTTTTGATCCTACAGACTGAGGGAGCGGAGGTTCACGTGGTGTCTCTAAGCAACCTCTTGTGAAGCAGTGGTGATATGTTAGTGACTCCCACCACCATGGTGTCCAAGTGCCGTGCTAACCTAATGTGTTTGTCATCAGCTCCAAGTACACAGGAAGGTTTTTCAGGCACGGGAGGCAGAGGCACAAAACCTGGGATGCTCCAGGGCACAGAGGTCGGTGGTGGAGTCCACATCCCTGCAGGTGTTCCAGAGCCATTGAGATGTGGCACTGACGGACATGGGCAGTGGGCATGGTGAGGGTGGGCTGGGGTTGAGTTTGATGATCTCAGAGGTCTTTTCCAACTTTAATGACTCTATGATTCTATGTTTCAATAGAATAGGCACCTGCCTGGAAGTTTAAGGTCACAGAGAGAGGCTGAAGCAGCCTGCAGACCCAGGCTCCCTCTGCAATCACTGCCACGTAAGTATCTCAGTAAAACCATGCATATTCACAGGACATAAAGTGAACACACGTAATTCTTTGCAAGATTCTGCTCTTCAAAGGTAATTTCAGAAATGTTGCCGATGCACAAACTTTAGCATGAGGCGTTGAATTGAATGCAATTGTGTGCTGCAATTCTTTTCTCATGTACAATTTCTCTGCATTGGGTACAATGGGGAGGAAATGCTGAGGATGCCTGATGGCGTGTGAGGCTACTGCTGGAAGACAGATTTTACAGCAGAACAATCGCAGGGTGTAGGTTTTAGGCAATAAGCAGGTAGCCTCGTTCTCTCGGAAGAAAAAAGAAAATAATGGAAAACTGTAACATTCATTTGGAGGCCTCAAAGGCATAAAAAACCCAATTCCAACTGTTATAGGTCCCTGCAGGAGTCTACAAAAGAACTAAGCTTTTTAAGTAAGAAAACTAGATTTTGGCCCAGAGGGCCCTGTCATTGCTGCTTAATAGATGAAACTCTTTTGATACAAATATGCTGTTTACTTCTCAGCTTCAACTTTCATAAAATATAACCTTTTTATGATTTACGACCCCAGAAAAAGTGCAGGATGGATTTTTAGCTCTGAATTGGTTGAATGTCAACAAGAAAAATATAGATAACATATAGAAATAGCAGGGTGTTAATGCCACACAAAATGATGAAATTATTTTTGTTTGGAAAAGTTAAGTTTCTTCTTAAAGTTCCTTGTGAGTGAAACTGAGGGAAGGGTTTGCTGGTGAAACATGGGTAGCTTTGCACAGTGCTTCCTTTTGGCTTCACGATGGCTTTGGTTGGCTTGGAAATTGCTGCTGACACAGGATCCATTCGTTCCTTCAGGAAGGGGTAGACAACGCATTGGGGTTGGTGATCCTCCTGCCATTGTCCCAGATACAAGCAAGCCCTCTAGATGTAGGTCTTGAATTATTTGCCCAAATCGTTGTATTTTTTCTTCTTGGCAACCATATTCACTGAATCACGGAACCATTAATGTTGGACAAGGCTGCTGGCATCATCAAGTCAACCCATCACTGCCATTCCCACCAGGTATTTCAGTAAACCACATACTGCTCTGATATTAAAATTAAACCCAAACAAATTCTCCATGTTGCAAAATCAAAGGTATGAGAGCTTTAATGCCTGAGACAAGAAGAGTAGTAAAGATGAGGGAATAACCGTCGCTGAGAAGATTGCACATATTTTCATTTTTGTCATTTTCCACTTTGTCTTCTCTCTCCTGCAGGTTCTTTAGCATTAGTTATGTGCCTGTTTTTCAGGTGGCTTTTCTTCATGTTGTTTGTGAAGTTACTGGAAAAAAAAAAAAGTTGATTTTTCTGAATGCTTCAGGAAATAGCCTGATCCCAGACAAATTGCCCAGGAAGGCTCTGAAATGACTTAGCCTGCCACAGAGGCAAGGTTGTGAAAATTGAAAAGGTTTTCACTTTTGACTCTTCCAACTATTGCAGAAAGAGATATTTTCTGGTGTATGGTCTCTGAAAACTGTCACTGAGGAAAATTAAAATAACAAAACTATCGGTCTGTGAGCATCACGGGATGCTGCATTGGGGGGGTGTGTTGGGCTCAGGGATGGGGGCTGCCAAGAGAGCTCAGCAGCTGCGGAGGTTGTACGGGAAAGGTACACAAATAGTGTGGCTAGAAAATACCTTACTGCACTGATCTGTATGCTCCTCTCCTGTGTATTGCCAAATTGAGAAAGGAAAGATTGAATGAATGGAAAAGTTGTGAGAAGACATGGAAGAAGCAATTTTGCTGATTGAACAGTGATCCATCCTGGAGCAGGAAATCAGCAACAGCCTTCTGAACCCAAACCCTTCTGACTGCTTGACTTTCCTGTAGCTAGTTGAGGTAAGCAGTATCAACTGACTCTTCCAAAAGGTTCTCTGTCTTTCCGATGTCCCTCACCTATGCACGGACAAGCCAAGCAGAAAAGGATCTTGGAGATACAAAGTGCAGAAAGCTTTGGATAAAACCAGCACTGAAACATTCAATTCCATTAGGAATCATAGCATCATAGAATGGTTTGGGTTGAAAGAGAGCTTTAAGATCATCTAGTCCCAACTCCCTGCTATAGGCAGGGACACCTCCCTCTAGAGCAGGTTGCTCACAGCTCCATCCAGCCTGATCTTGAACATCTCCCTGGTGAGGGCATCCGCAACCTCGCTGGGCAGCCGGTTCCAGTGTCTAATGCTCTTTTTGAACTTGTGACTGCAGCTGTTTTTTATAGATTGGCCTCTTCCTCAAGTGAATATATTAGAGAAAATAAATAGGTATATATCACTGAAGAGATGTTGGCTACAGTGGATATATTTCTGCACATATCTGTATGTGAATGCTGTGTGCGACAGTTTAAATGGAACAGTCCATCTGATCTGCTCACCTGCCCTTGTTAAATGTACAGCCATATTCATGGGACATTACAGTCAGCAGCAATATGTATGAAATCAGATTGCATTCAACCTGGAAATGACCCACGTTGTGAACTCTACAGGCAATGTATTTTCATACATATCAGCCCTGGAGCTGTGAAAACCAGAAGGAGTTCAGCAGCAGGGTGGTTTATACCTGTACGAGGAGGAGAAGGAACACAAAGCTTGTCCCTTCCTCCCACCCTTCCTTAGTCATCTCACTTCTGTCTCTTTTTCCCTTTTTTTTGAGATGGTTTGGGGACTATTTTTGAGAAGCAGTTTTTTAAGGACACGTGTTTTTCTTGAAGTCATGCACACATAAATACACTGGCTGCCCACTGCAAGAATTTACCAATAGATCCAAGTCAGGATCAGATGTCATTCTGAGCATGAACTCAGTTCATCCAGAAGTTACTGGCAGAGGGCAGGACATAAATGCTGTTCATATCCCGTAGCCTGGAATCAGACTGAGTCCCGGTTTCCTTCTCATTCTGATCTCAGGTAACAGCCTCACTTGTAGGTTTGGCGTTTGGAGGATGAATTTGCACGGAGGAATGGCAGGAAAAGTTACCACCTCTCATGCCATTAGGAATTCGTGCCTAACTATTTCAGTCGTTCCAATTATTCCAATTATTTGAAATCTTTCAGTTATTTCGAATCCTTCCCAAAGTCCTTCCATCATCACAACAGCCAGCTGCTGTGCTGGGTGCTGAGATTTATGCCAGAGAGATGTTTCATTTTTCCATCAGCCCCTTTCTTTATTTGCTCTTTTATAGCATTTCTTTCCCCAATTATCCCGAGGTTGCTTTTGATGGGGAAAAAATCTCTGCTTCATAAGACCGCAGCTAAAACCTTACATCCAAATACTGAATGCCAAATGGCAAATCTGGTGGTGTGATCCATCAGTTCTAGGAGCAATCATTTTACTTGGAGGGCTCATTTAGCTGCAGGCAGCGTGGTTATGTCCTGCTTGATAGCCTTTGGGTAAAGTGAATTTACTTTACTCACCTACTTTGAAGACTAGAAATATGGTGCTGTTTCATTCTCAGGTAGAAAAGCAAAGAACTGTTCAGATATTCTCTTGAAGCTGTCCTGAAAAGTGGTTCGTAATGACAGAATCATAAAGGTCATGTGCTATTTTCTTTCCATAAATCTGGCAGTGGAAACATTATGGGTTTTCCTGGTCTTTATCCTCCCTTTCAGTGTGATGAAGGTGTCTGATTCTCTTTGGCTCCTGTGAGATTCTGAAGGTTGGAAATTAAGTGCAGAGCACAGATGAGTTCTGCTGCACCTCCACGTCATTAGGGGCCATTGCAATTCCAATGGGCCCAGTGCTGGGAATAATAACTGGCAGGACTCTAGATTTGTTCATTGCCCACAAGAGATTCTCACAGCCCACTGGAAAGGGTTCCTTATGCTGCAGGAATTCGAAGGGTGGCAAATCTTCTTGTAGCATCAAATCCCTGGGAAATCCCATAATCTGTTCCCACAGAAGCACTGGAAGGCACTGAATTGAAGTCAAAAGAGAAGACACCCAGTGGCAGGGCAACCATTTCATCTCACATCTGTAGACCATATACTATTCCGCAGCCATTTGGTGTGGGTCTCTTTGGACATAAAAGGAGGACAGCATATGGAAAATATGTACAGGAACTGAAAGCCCAACCTTGGGCACCACACCTACATCAGCTAAGTCCACCTGAACTGCTGTCTGGGCTCAGCAACTGGAGTAAGATGTATGCTGACACAGCTGTATGGCTGCGGATCAACTCAAGGGGTAAGCAGTGGAGATTGTCTCTGTTTGCTCTTAGACTACTAATTTGCCTTGAAAAAGGAAAAGAAAATGAACCGACGGCTTGGAAAATATCGCTCTTTGTCAAAAGTCCATGCAAAGCAAATTGAGCTCCTTGTTAGGAAATAATGCATCTTTTTTTCCTCAGCTTAGAGCTGTATTTTTTTAATAATGAGAGCTGGCGTGTGCAAAGGGTGGGGTTTGAATTTCATGTGTGGTAATGATCCCTCAGTAACTCCCAGGTTCTGTTCTTCAACACTTCGCTCAGAGCCTCTTCTTGCAGTGTAGCATCATGAGCTCCCAGGAGGAGCTGGAAGGAGAGACTGGCGTGGCGTGGAGGAGAACCCTGGAGAATTGGCTGTTCTGCAAGAGCTGCTCGGGATTAGTTCTCCAGACAGACAATTTCTAAATCTGGTTTGCCCTGAGTGTTGAGACAACGTTTGTGGCCGGTTGTGTAGATGTGAATGAGTGTGAGTAAATGGCTCTTGGCAGGCAGACAGGCGCAGTCGTTTCTCCCAGACAAAAACCTGGCCAGCAGCTAGGTTGCTTCATATGGCCATGACTCTGAGGTCTGCCAGATTTGTAATCCTATTGGTCAGAAACGGAACTGGAGCATTAATTAAAGGTGGTAACTGTGAATGATCCTATAAAATCCAGCATGTGTTTGTATTTCAGGACCATCCTTTTTCCTTTGTTTAAATTCGTGGCCTGGTTACAAGTCAATTTGGCTTG